TCAAAAATCAGCTATCTATAGGAATGTGTATTTGTCTGGGTCTTCATTTCAATTCCATTGATCAACCTGTCTGTTATTAATGCCAGTACCATGTTCTATTACTATAGCTCTGTAGTAAAATCTTAGATCAGGGATGGTTATACTTCCAGGGTTTTGTTTGTTGTTTGTTTTGTGTTTTAGCTATCCTAGGGGTTTTTTTTTTTTTTCATATGAAACTGAAAATTGTCCTTTCAAGTCCTGTGTGTTGGAATTTTGATATTGTATTGAATCTGTAGATTGCTTTTGGTAGGATAGCCATTTTGACTATTTTAACAGCTAACATCCACATATAAGTGAATACATATCACAGTTGTCTTTTGGGGTCTGGGTTACCTCACTCAGGATGCTTTTTTTTTTTTATTTCTAGTCCCATCCATTTATCTACAAATTTCATGATTTTTTTAACGCCTGAGGAATATTCCATTGTGTAAATGTACTACATTTTCTTTATCCATCCATGAACATGAGAGATCTTTTCATCTTCTGATATCTGCTTCAATTTCTTTCTTCAATGGTTATAAACATTCTTATGTTTCTCTCTCTCCTTCTCCTTTCTTCCCACCTCTTTTTGTTTGCTCCTTCCTTCCTTCCTTCCTTCCTTCCTTCCTTCCTTCCTCCCTCCCTCCCTCCCTCTCTCCCTTCTTCCCTTCCTTCCTTCCTTCCTTCCTTTCTTTTGAAGATTCTTTATATAGCACTAGCTGTCCAGGAACTCATTGTGTTGACCAGGCTAGGCTCCAACTCACAGAGATCCACCTGCCTCTGCCTCACAAGTGCTGGGATTAAACATGTGCACCACCATGCCCCACCTTTTCAGTTTCTTACCTGGCCTGTTGCTTCATTTTCTCCTCTGTACAGGGTAATTGTTTCTCCACAGGACAGATGGAGAGATGTCCCTTCAACACGTATGCCCTGCCCTGAGCCATTTCAACATAAAAGCCAAAGTCCTCAGTGTGACCCGAGAGTTGTATGTGACAAGTATGTGGTTGGCCCTCCCTTGTCACAAGCTCCATTGTTCACTGAGTTCTTGACAGGGGGCTTTGTTTTTTCCATCCTCAAATATCAAAGCACACTTAGGCCTCAAGATATTTTTCCTTTCTGTCTTCCCCCTGAAAAATACTAATGGCAGAAGTCTGGATAGTTGTTCTACAGTTCATACGAGACTCCTCTGAGAGGGCTAGAGAGGTGACTCAGTGGTAAGAGCACTGGATGCTCTTCAAGGGGACCACGGTTCAATTCCCAGCACCCACGTGGCAGCTCACAACTCTCTGTAACCCCAGTTCCAAGGGATCCAAAATGACCTTTTCTTCCCTCCACAGGCACTAGACATGCACATGGTGCAAATGTAGGTAAACGCTCATACACCTAAAAGTAAAAATGAAAATTAAAAATCTTTTAAAAAAGAGTTCATTGCAGTGCACTTTATATGAGCTTGACTTTTGTTATGTAAGATGCTTTCCCACTCCACTGGCTCAGCAATCTGCATTCGTTGGAAATGTTTAGTTTTTCCTCTAACTCAGCTGTTTTATTACCCAGCCCTAAATTGATGACAGATGTTTTTTAGTAACCAGTTTTATTGGATTCTTTCAGAACATTCAAAATTAATTTCATGGAAGCCAACACTTTTGTATTAATAAATTCACCTGCTTACATGATATTTAGTTAAATCTCTAACTGTAACCACTGATACCATTGCAGAATGCCTTGGGAATGGAGACACCTGACACTTGGCAAAGATAAAACCCAACCAATGATGGGAAATGTGTGCTTCCTTCCAGAGGGTTCCACCAGACTCAGCACTCACTACAGAATAGTTTATACAGTGCAGAATCCTCATTAATTAGTTCAGTAAAGTGATAAGTTGAAGCTCAATTAAAAGGGCTTAATTGGTCTAGAAGAGAAACAGATATATTTAGCTTGATTTTATAAATCAGTACTTCCAGGTTCTCCTTTGTTATTGATGGAGTCGTCCATCTTTTCATTAAATGCCATAATTGTCTACATCATAAAGTTTCACATAAAATCCTAAGAGTGAGAATAAATGGGCACTAGAAAATTGCTCCTTTTCTTAAAAATGGCATAAATTATAAAAATGCATCTGATAGAGAAGTCCTACAGATGGACAATGGTGTCAATTAGACGTTATGGATGAACAAAATGTAACTGAGTATCCCTAAAATGACTTCAGGGAACAGCATTATGATGTGCAGATTTTCCTAAAATGGAAGAAAATGTATAAATGCATCTGCATTTATTTTTAACACCTTTGGCTGGACAATGCAACAAGAAGAAAAGCAGGTTAAGAATTAAACATCTCATGGTTTTTATGGTGCAGCTTCTGATGTACATTTTAGTAAACATGTTAAGTTCTCTTTGCTATAGTTTCCTTATGTTTAACGCACATGTATTTCGTGGGTCCACTTATCAATTGTAGGTGCAGTGTTTTGTGCTTTGATTAAAGTAATTCATTGAGTTGGATTTCTGGTTGGACATTTACTATTGAGGTTTTAAAAATGTTAAAATTTGCATGCTTCCAATTTTGTCTGTGTGTTTTGTTGTTTATGAAATTGCAGCTGTTTTCTCCTGGGATGTAATTAATTGGGAATTGGTGAGTTTAGCTTCTACTGGAGTTTATACTTCTTTCTGGTACTGTTAAATGTTTGACATTTTTAATCACTGGTATCTTAAAGGTCCCCTCCATGAGTTCTGAGCAAAGAGCTTCCTAGGATGAAAAGGGTATTTTATAATTAGCTTCTTTGGTGAGTTAAATAAAGATAATCAAACAAATGTTTTGCACAGTGGGACAAAGACCAGTGGATTGGGTGAGGTACAAGGATGGGTCATCAATCAGATTGATGTATAAGAGACTATTTTGGAAATTAAAGTACATTCCTACTTATTCAGGTTTTGTATACTGAACTATTTTCCCAAGCGAATAAGAGAGTTTTAAGTTGGAACAACCTGAAATTTACAAGGATGCTTTGTAAGAATAGGAAGAGGATATAAGAAGATGACCAGTGTAAAATCCACCTTAGAAATAACCTCTTAGGTAAGCAGAAAAAAATGTGAAGATAAATAGAATCTGAGGAGGAGACAGCTCTACGCTGTATTAGGTGAAGAGTGTCTTCGATTGTGGGTCTGGGCCATGACAAAGGACTCTAACCCAGGGTGCAGTATGCATTCCCTAAAGGGCACACTTCTGTAAAATTCTCTGTCTTAAGCACCTGCCAGCAATTACAATTGCTTACAAAGAATATGTTGATACTTGATAATAAAGCAGCTGTAACCTGCATTCCCTTTCAAGCAAGTCTCTTTCTTTTTTTTAAATTTTTTTTTCCTTTGATTAATTGTAACGCTGGTGTTTTTGTTTCAAAATATTTTGGATAGATGTGTGGCCTTTGGTATCATTTCACACTTTAAATCAGAAGACTATTTGCCAGCAAACTGAACTTCCCCCTTACCCTGGGCTCTACTCCACACATTCCTTTCGGATATAGTAAGGCCCCCCCCAGCCCTGGAGGTGTTGAACCCCTGTATACCAGGCAAAGAGCAAGTAGGAAAAAGCAAGGCAATAATGCTTGTCTATATGATCAGTGCCTACTGGCTTTCCCTGTCAAGTGAGAGGAGGGAGGATTCAGCAAGATGTGGAACCAAGTAGTTTCTGGGTTATCCCTCTGTGTATGTCCTCTCCTGGCTTTAGTTATAGCTTCCTAATTTTTCAAGTTTGACCGAGTCTGTGTGATCTTTGTTGTGATATGTTGTACATCACAGGCTGATTCTAAACTTCTCCATTAGTTAAAGTATTTTGGCAAGGTATTAAACTGTATATTAGAAGGGCTGCTTCCCTGGGGACTTCACTGAACAAGGAGTTTATCTGTCTCAATACAGTAACTTTATTTCCAAGTGTATTCCAGCCAGTGTTATCAAAGGTAAATCTTGAAAACCATGGTTGAATTAGGACAATTTGTGTGTGTGTGTGTGTGTGTGTGTGTGTGTGTGTGTGTGTGTGTGCGCGCGCGCGCGCGCGATGTTTGGGTCCTACCCTGTTTAAATTCCCGGAATCATCTTTGTCTTCCTTATTTGGCTTCATTTTTCTTTATGGGACTTTTGCCACTGTACACGATTGTTTCTCTGCTGTCTGCTTCTCCCTGCAGTGTCAGGCATGTGTTTTCATCTACTCTTTTCAGTTATCTCACCGTTTTGAACAGGGTGTGACACAAAGAAGGAACCTACTAAGTACTGGATAAAAAAGAATCACACAGCCTCTCTTAGCCAGAGTCAGTGCACTGTTTTCTGGATACTGCTCTCATTCGTGTTTAGACTTTTTAGAGCAGTACTTCTAAAAAAAAAATATGAATCCTGCTACTGTGATTTTACTAGTTTAAACCCCTCCTTTGTCTGTCAGAAGACAGCAATCCCTGTCATGGTATGTGCTGCTCAGTGACCCTTCCTTCTTAGAGGTGTCTCCTCCCTGTCTACTCCCTCTTAATGCACAGGTCCTAGCCTGTGTTTTATTACCTGTAGCACACTCCCTGGCTTCCGTTGTGCTGTCTCTCTACCTCCCCCCCTCCTGGGCGCCCTCCTCTATGGTGCTTTCTTTCACTCCCTTATCTGATAGCACCATCCTGTTCTGTCTCTTGACATGACATGACCTCATTGCACTTCCTTTATCACCATTTCTGTCTCTTTCCTGTCCTATGTAACCCTGTGAACTTGCAGACGGAAAGAAACCTGGGTCCTGAAGGGACTCGGTAAATGTCTGTGGAATGAAGGACCAGTGATTCCCATAGGGAAGTAGAAGTCTGTGGGTGTTATGAGACTTTTCAAGCATCCCCAGCACAAAGGGTTATTTATGATGGAAGCTGGAGTCGGCCCGCATTTCATGGCTTCCTCGAGACCAGGCCTGACTATATTCCTGAGTGTAAATGATTTCTAACCAAATGCTTTCGTTTCTTCCTTCACAGATATTGATGATGTTAAGAAGCTCAAACCAGGTTACCTGGAAGCCACTGTTAGTTGGTTGAGACTTTATAAGGTACCAGACGGAAAACCAGAAAACAAGTTTGCTTTTAATGGAGAATTCAAAGACAAGGTAAAGATGAGAATTTGTTTGAAGTGCTCCTCTCACTGTCTGATAGCATATTTCACATAGACAATCTGATAGGAATATTCACATATAGCAGGAAGACACTTTACTGATTTCCGTATTGAAGGGCATTAGTGTTAATGTTTTTTTTTTCCAGATATTTAAGTGAATCAACAGGATCAATCTACTCATCCCAGAAAGTAAGGGAATTCTGCATTTAGTCTAAACTGTGTATATTGTGTATGAAGAAAATTGCCCCATTTCCTGGTGTGAGGAGGCTCCTTTCCCTTCATGTAAATCCATCCAGGATTCCCTCCTGACTAAATTTTAGGGTGACTGAATGAAGTTTTTAACAGTTAAGCGAGCACCTGAATTATCTTACTGGTAGAGGACTTTCCGTTAGAATGCCACAAAGCTTCCATAAGATGTCTCTAATCTAATATGACTCAGATGAAGGAAATCAGCCAAGGAACTGAAGTCTAAAATAGGGAATATTTCAAAGCTCTTACCACTAAATAAATGCACGCTCTTAAGCAACTTCTAAGCCGGCACAGAAAGCATATTCTATGGCTAAAATAAGGCACAAAACTGACCCCAAGTATCTCTCTTTAGGGATTGATTGCTGTTATGTAGTGTTTGTTGTAATTTAAGAAAAGCAGTGTGCAAGGGAAAGACACCATGTGACAGGGTTCAAGCAGAGGGGTTTTTTTTATTAGGAAAAGGGATCATTAAAGGGGGAAAGGGGAGCCGGGAGATCAGCCTCCAGGAACAGGAGCAGCAGGAGAGGGGAGACAGGAAAGAGGGGTAGAGAGGGGGGGCAGATAGAGGGAGAGAAAGAGAAGGGTGGGAGGTGGGCAGGGCCTTTTAAAAGGGAACATAGTGAATGTGCACAGATGCTGCTCTTAGTGGCTGCAGCTGAGGGGTGTCCTGTCAGAACCCCAAGGACAGGCCAGTACAGATGCCTGAATACTAACAGTGTTATTAGATGTATACCTAGCCAAATGTTTATTACTGATTATGCAATTTTAGGTATTTTTATGAATTGGTACCAAGAAAAAGTTGTGGCAGTTCTGAGATGTATTGCTTTCAGACAGTGAGTTGTCCAAAATTACAGTTACACTTTGTGCACTCGTGGCAATGATGACGTAAGTGTGTGCTTGCCTGCTTCCTCACCAGTTGTGGACTAGGCTGAGCTCTTCACTCGCATTGTTTTATTTATTCATTCATTAGCTCTGTAGTTAAGATCTAAGGTGGGCGAACTATGTGTCTAGGTCAGACAGTAAATATTTAAGGCTTTACAACATAACAGATGGCTTCTGAATATCTTCCCAACACTACCATTCCACCAAGGCATCCAGGAGCCAAAGACACATGGCAGCCCAGGGTTGACCCACAGACTTTCATTGGCCTGCCCCTTATATAGACTGTCCCCCACCCCCACCTCATTATAAGCTATTCCTTGGAGAAGGAAGTGGAGGCTTGGTGCAGCCTAGCACCTGCATCCCAGCTGGTAACTAGACAAGTTTTCTACTCAAGTTTGCCTGATTCCAGAGCTCCGGCTCTTAACATGTTGTCACTGGTTCTGTGTGGGTGTAACACTGATTTGGGTGGGAACTAGGTTGCAACTACCTCTGTCTGTTTTTGATTGCAACTAGGCTTTCGCTCTTGAAGTTGTTAACCACACACATGAATGTTGGAAAACAATGATCATGAAGAAATGTGACCACGGAGCTATCAATTGGTAAGAAAATAGCTCTTCTGCAGATATAATGTTAATTCATTGTCAGGTTCTGCTCAGCAGCCATGTGATATTGCTCAGATCCCAGACTTTCAAAGCATGTCTCTCTCTTTTTTTTTTGTTTTGTTTTGGTTTTTTATTTTGTTTTTCAAGATAGGGTTCCCTGGAACTCGCTCTGTAGACCAGGCTGGCCTGGAACTCACAGAGATCCACCTGCCTCTGCCTTCTGAGTGCTAGGATCAAATGCATGTGTCACCACCGCACAGTTTATGGAGCATGTCTTTAACAGTCATTGCTGAGTGCTGGCTGTCACCATGCAGCTAGGAATCCTACATGACTCATTTTTTCCAAATGATTTTTATTTCAATAAGTTATACTGACAAGTAAACAAATACTTAATGCAGTCTACTGTGATAGAACGAGAACAGCAGTTTCCAATGTGTAAAAATATGGTTACTCTGTTTACATAAAAGCTACCCCATCATCCAATGCAATCCCCATCAAAATCCCAGCACAATTTTTCATGGACCTTGAAAGAATATTTCTCAACTTTATATGAAAAAAAAGACCCAGGATAGCCCAAACAACCCTGTATAATAAAGGAACTTCCCGGAGGCATCACTATCCCTGACTTCAAGCTCTATTGTAGGGCCATAGTCCTGAAAACAGTTTAGTATTGGCACAAAAATAGACAGGTAGAGCAATGGAATCAAATTGAAGACCCTGATATTAACCCACACCTACGAACACCTGATTTTTGACAAAGAAGCTAAAATTATACAATGGACAAAAGAAAGCATTTTCAACAAATGGTGCTGGCATAACTGGATACTGGCATGTAGAACACTGCAGATAGATCCATTTCTATCACCATGCACAAAACTTAAGTCCAAATGGATCAAAGAATTCAACATAAATCCAGGCACACTGAACCTCTTAGAAGAGAAGTTAGGTGGTACCCTTGAACGAATTGGTACAGGAGACCGCTTCCTGAACATAACACCAGTATCACAGACACTGAGATCTACAATTAATAAATGGGACCTCTTGAAACTGAGAAGCTTCTTTCTGTAAGGCAATGGACACAGTTAACAAGACAAAATGACAGCCCACAGAATGGGAAAAGATCTTCACCAACCCCACATCTGGCAGAGGGCTGATTTCCAAAATATACAAAAAAAAATCAAAAACAAAACAAAACAAAAAAAACTCAAGAGGCTAGTCACCAAAACACCAGCTAATCCAGTTAAAAAGTGGGGTACAGAACTAAATAGAGAATTCTCAATAGAGGAATCTAAAATGGCTGAAAGACACATAAGAAAGTGCTCAACATCCTTAGCCATCAGGGAAATGCAAATCAAAACAACTCTGAGATACCATCTTATTCTTGTCAGAATGGCTAAAATCAAAAACACCAATGACAGTTTATGCTGGAGAGGATGTGGAGAAAGGGGAACACTCCTCCACTGCTGGTGGGAGTGCAAACTCATACAGCCACTTTGGAAATCAGTAATGTAGCTCCTCAAGAAAATGGGAATGAGTCTACCACAAGATCCAGCAATTCTACTCTTAGGCATATACCCAAAGAAGCACATTCATACAACAAGGACATCTGTTCAACCCATCCTGAGTGAGGCAACCCAGTCACAAAAAGACAAAAATGGTATGCACTCACTCATATATGGATTTTAGACCTAGGGCAAAGGCGTAGCAGTCTACAATCCACACCGCCAGAGAAGCTAGGAAACAAGGAGGACCCTAAGAGAGACACACATGGCCCCGTGGAGAAGGGGAAAGTGACAAGATCTCCTGAGCTAATTGGGAGCATGGTGGGAGGGAGAGGGAGTTAGAAGAAAGAGAAGGGGAGAAGAGGAGGGGAGAGGAGGACATGAGGGAGCAGTCAGGAGAGGGATGGAGGAGAGCAAGATAAGAGATACCATAACAGAGGGAGCCATTATAGGTTTAAAGAGAAATCTGGCACTAGGGAAATGTCCAGAGATCTACAAGGTTGACCCCAGCTAACAATCTAAGCAATAGTCGAAAGGCTACCTTAAAAGCCCTTCTTCAATAATGAGATTGATGACTACCTTGTGTGCCATCCAGAACCTCCATCCAGTAGCTGATGGAAGCAGAAGCAGAAGCAGAAACCCACAGCTAAACACTGAGCTGAACTGGAATCC